AATCTTCCAGGGATTTTTGGAAAGTTTCCACCCCTTTGCAACCCTACGGAGGATCACAACAAACTCATGCAGAAACGTGTGCCTTGTTGCTAGGAGACGCGTGACAAATGAAAACATTCTAAATCTAAACATTCTAAATTAGCGTTCTAAAACCGGCTGAAAATATCAAGCATGTTTGATCTCCTCCCACTGGATGGAATCAGAGTCTGAAGTCTGTGACCATCATACACTACATGATTTTCTATGAAATCTGTCAACTCTAATCTGCAGACTGGCTCTGATTGTCAGCAACTAGCGTCAATTTGTTGGGACTGTAAATCGTGGCTTTTGTATTCCAGCTTTAACATGCTCTGACTAAGTGAAAAAAGCCAGAACAACAACAGAATGTTCTTCTTGTTGGTCTGTAGCTGTAGGGCGTCCTCCAGTGATCACTGTAGATGGGTTTGATCATTCAGGAGGGCTTCATCTACAGTGTGAATCGAAGGGTTGGTATCCTGAACCTGATCTTGAGTGGCTGGACGGTGATGGAGTCAGCTTGATTCCAGAAACTACAGAGAAACACAGAAACACGGACAGATTCAGTGTGAAACACAGCATCACTGTACATCGCAGAGACAGCCAGATTCACTGCAGAATCAAAGTGAGACATCACATGCTGGAGGCACTGATTATCAGCTCAAGTAAGCTGACACTTTCATTACTGTACCATTCGGAACTGAACATTATATATTTTTATTCATCTCGTCAAAATACGCTTGATTTACACAATGTGCTTAATTACGGTTTTGTTTTACAGGTAATATGTTTAATTCTTGGAGGACATCAGTCATCCTGATTGTACTTGTAGTTGTGCTCAGTGTGACTGCTGGAATACTGATAGCTGTGTTTGTCCATAAAAACAGAGGTAAAATGCTTGTTTTCTTATTATTTTATATATTTATGTAAATAAAGCAGTGGCAATATACAGGCTAAACAAGAGCGGTGCAAGAATTGAGCCTTGTGGGACTCCGCCTGTCATGGACGTCCACTTAGACTAGATGCATGATGTTACAAAAATGCAGAACAGAACTTTATCTACACATTTTTGTTTTGATAAACCACCTCATCTGTGAAACATGATGTTGAGGATACAACATTTTTTGAATGTCTTCATTAAATAATTTGGTAACACTTCAGAGACCAATTCTCACTATTAACTAGTTGTTTATTAGCATGCATATTACTAGCATATTGGCTGTTTATTAGCATTATAAAGAAGATATTAATGCCTTATTCTGCATGACCATATTTTACATCCCGTAATCCCCCCCATATAAACTTAACAACTACCTTACTAAGTATTAATAAGCAGCAAATTAATTTATTGAGACAAAAGTTGTAGTTAATAGTTAGTTAATAGTGAGAATTGGTCCCCAAACTAAAGTGTGACCAATAATTTAATTCAGTATTAATGTCAAGTCTGTTTTCATCCTCAAAATATTTAATTAACAGACATTGTGTATTCATATACTTTTGTGTATATCCTGTAATTTGTAGTTATTGTTCCTGAATCAAAAATTATATTTGTTGTCTGAATTCTGTTTTCTCTCGTCTTTATTCTGAATTTTCTTCAGCACACGATCGACTAGAGAAGGAGAAGAGAACACTACAACAGGGTGAATCTGTCTTTATTAAATCATTTCATTCTGTATTAATGTCAAGTCTGTTTTCATCCACAAAGCATTTAATTAGCAGGCATTGTGTATTCATATACTTTTGTGTATATCTTAGATCCTGTAATTTGTTGTTGCTGAATCAAAAATTATATTTTTCTATTTGTTGTCTGAATTGTGTTTTCTCTCGTCTTTATTCTGAATTTTCTTCAGCACACGATCGACTAGAGGATGAACACAATCATCTACAGGATGAGAAGAGGAGAATACAACATGGTGAATCTGTCTTTATTATGTTATTTATTCATTATTCATTTAAAGTCTGTTTTCAGCAGTAAAATACCGTTTTAACTGTGTGCATTCATTTATTTTGTGTATATCTTGGATCTGGTAAATGGTCACCAGTTGTTTATATAATGTAGTGTGAAGACAGTTGAATGAAGACAGTTATCAACATAACTGATATTCACAATAGTAAGCAAGCCCTGCTTTGTTTATGTTTCATATATCTGCGTATATCTTTGTTTTGGTTTCTCCTTTTGAATGACGAATATATAATATTGTTAGCTGCTGATATAGACTGCTCAACATGTCCTCAAACCAATACGCCCGCATAGGTCGTTTGTTGAAACAATTGTGCCACTATCGGCAACAGGACACTTTCATATTAATGCTTTGTACTCTTTTATCTGTGTCATAATTCGGGTTTCGTATAGCTCAGTTGGTAGAGCATCGCTTTATACGACGATATGCAACCATGTGATCATGGGTTCAATCCCAGAGAAGGCACGTGCTCATAAAATGTATATGCACTGTAAATCACGATTTTGCATGATTTCTGTGAGGGTAGGTTTACTAGGTGTGGTCATTCATACAAATTCGTATAATGAAGTAGCCACCTAGTAAAATATATACAAATTGCCATGAGATCAGGTTGGACCATGTAAAAAGTCCACACATTGCATTTAAATAAACATGCATTTTGATTGGTAATGACAGTCATACGTCATTTCATGACAACAGACGCAACATGACACTCATTATTTTTGCGCCCACTAGAGGGCACTTAACTTTAAAACGTAAATATTGGTCGTAATAAGGTGCTTGCACAAACCTATAGGGTCGTTTTTTGTTGGAGGACAGTCTAAAAGTGCAAATTTCTCTCACACATGCGCAGAACGCACGTGTTAGTTTGCAGTCGGCTGTAGTCTGAGCGGTGTTTTCAAGCGCAGCTTTTTGTCCAGACGCTGCTGATGCAAGGCAACAACACCATCGGCTTTTGTCGCCACTAGTTCTTTGAAGTCGGCTTGGTGTGTCCCGGCATTAAGCACAAACAGTATTGTTTAATGAAAAAATAAAAAAAGAAAGAAACAGAACACACTGGCAAAAAACACTGAACTGAACAACCAACTTAAAAATTCGAAGATAACGAACCAAAACCAAGGCTATAAATACACAAGGGCATAACATGGGACAGGTGTAAATAAATTGGCAGAGAAAGTCAGTGGGGCTGTAGTCATTTGGCGAGAAGGCTAGGTAAATCTGGGTGTCATCTGCATAGCTGTGAAAGGCAATTTGGTTCTTTCTCACTATTTGACTCAGTGCATATACAGGCTAAACAAGAGCGGTGCGAGAATTGAGCCTTGTGGGACTCCGCCTGTCATAGACGTCCACTTAGACTAGCTGCATGATGTTACAAAAATGCAAAACAGAACTTTAAAAAAAAAAAAAGGAAAAGAAAGAGAACACACTGGCAAAAAAACACTGAACTGAACAACCAACTTAAAAATTTGAAGATAACGAACCAAAACCAAGGCTATAAATACACAAGGGCATAACATGGGACAGGTGTAACTAAATCAGTAACCAAGGCAACAAACATAGTAATTAACATAGGCGAGAAAACTAGAACAAATGAAACATACACAAAACAGAACCAAACACTGACACTTACCAGGACCTTGTACCATGATGGTGGCTGAACAAACTCAGGGTTACAGAATTAGTTGCGAGTTGACACAACCAAACCAGTCCAATCCAGCTTTGTTGGTACCATGACGCTGATCATCAACTTTCTCTGTCAGCTCAGAGATGGCTTTATGGAGCACGTGCACATGAAAGTGTGACATCAGAAGTGAACAGCCAATCAAATGCCTTGAAACTGTGATTCACTTCTCGCGAGAGAGTCAGTGTGATTTACTGCCAAAGACTGAAAAATACAAAGAATTTAAACACATTTACACAGCAAGATGAAAAGAGCTGGCCATGAAAGAGGAAAACTCAAAGAAAACATCTTGCCATATCAGTGCAAGTGAAAGTTGTGAAGTGTATATAGTTGATCATATTTATAGGTATACAGAGACTCGTAAATCTAAACTCATGTGTAGTCACGTTTAAAGCTTTATCTATTGATTCTAAAGCTTATTTACATTTCATATTATCTGCATGTATTTATATTCATTTAAAATAAAAGCTTAATTATTAAACTAAAATGGATTAAGGGTATAATAATTATGTAAATCATATAAAATAATTACAATAAATAGCCAGACGATCTTTAAAAATGTTTTACTATGTAGTGCCAGTTAATTTGGAGCAAGAGAAATTGGAGGAGTGACTTTATTGTGTCACAGAGGTGTCACTTTGCTCAAAGCTGATTGGTCAGATTTCGTTCATGACCCTATAAGCACAACTGAATGATCGTGACTTGTTTGTCAGAGTAATAAAAATTATAGATTTTTAATCTTCTTTTCTCATCTTTTTCATCATTTTCTTTAGAACGCTATCAACTTTTACGAGGTCTGGAGACTATTATACCAAAAGGTAAATTTGTTTTATATGGCTTAATTAAAATATAAATTCATTACTTTTAAATTATTTAGCAAAACAATGAATGAATATGCTGTGCATTCATATATGTATTCAATTCATTGTATTTTATTACAAGATATATATATAAACTGTGTAAATCTTTTTGGATTTTGTTTGTCTTCAAGTGGTGGTTAAAAAATGACTTATTATTGATCTAAAGATGAATTCTGTTATGAACCCTTTATAACGTCACACTTTCTGTTCTCAGCTCTCACACATTTAAGAACACACTCGGGTGAGTAAAAGGGCATAATTATTTATTTTAATTAATGGCATAATTATTTTAATATATACATTATTTATTTTACATACATAACTAAACAATAGCAAGAAAAAAAAGTCTATCAGCAGTAGATGTGAAAATTATGAACATTATTGTTTATAATACAGTGTATTGAATGTTACATTTATTTACCATTAATGGTGTATCTTTATTTTTGTTTATCTTGTAAAGTACTCATGATTCCTATAAAATTATGGTTATTTCATTATAAACTCATCTTTAAAGCATATTTTTCCATATTTCCAACAGTGAATGTGATTCTGGATGGCGATACGGCTCATCCACGTCTCATCGTGTCTGATGATGGGAAACAAGTGAGGGAAGGAAGGACACGACGGGAAGCAGTGGATGGGAAAACAGACCGATTTAATGAATATCGTGGTGTTCTGGGAAAGGATGGATTCGGCTCAGGGTGTTTTTACTTTGAGGTGCAGGTGAAGGATCAGACGAAGTGGTATTTAGGAGTGGCCAGAGAATCTGTGATCAGGAAGGGCTTGATCCGTCTGAGCTCTGTGAATGGATGCTGGACTGTGAGTCTGTATAATGGGAAGTATCGGGCTCGTGAGTCGTCATATGTGCTTCTTTCTCTGAGTGTGGATCCTCAGAGGGTCGGTGTGTTTGTGGATTATAACGAGGGTCTCGTCTCTTTCTATGACGTGGAGTCCATGTCTCATATCTACTCTTTCACTAATCAGTCTTTTAATGAGAAACTCTATCCATTTGTTTGTTTGGGGTATTATTGGAATGAAAACTCTACACCATTGATCATCTGTGATGATTACTAATGAGATCAGTCAATGAATTCACATGATCATGTGACACAAACAACAGGAAATACAATAAAATGCACAAAATATTATTTACTACCAGTCAGAATTTTTACAATATGATCTTATTTAAACTTATTTAAAGAACTTATTTAAAGCAGCGTTTTCAGAAGTCTTCGTTTTGCTCCGTTTACACTGAAACGCAACTCCGGAGTTTACAAACTAAAACGGGGTCTACAGCGTTTTCAGAAGTCTTCGTTTTGCTCCGTTTACACTGAAACGCAACTCCGGAGTTTGCAAACTAAAACGGGGTCTGCAGCGTTTTCAGAAGTCTTCGTTTTGCTCCGTTTACACTGAAACGCAACTCCGGAGTTTGCAAACTAAAACGGGGTCTGCAGCGTTTTCAGAAGTCTTCGTTTTGCTCCGTTTACACTGAAACGCAACTCCGGAGTTTGCAAACTAAAACGGGGTCTGCAGCGTTTTCAGAAGTCTTCGTTTTGCTCCGTTTACACTGAAACGCAACTCCGGAGTTTGCAAACTAAAACGGGGTCTGCAGCGTTTTCAGAAGTCTTCGTTTTGCTCCGTTTACACTGAAACGCAACTCCGGAGTTTGCAAACTAAAACGGGGTCTGCAGCGTTTTCAGAAGTCTTCGTTTTGCTCCGTTTACACTGAAACGCAACTCCGGAGTTTGCAAACTAAAACGGGGTCTGCAGCGTTTTCAGAAGTCTTCGTTTTGCTCCGTTTACACTGAAACGCAACTCCGGAGTTTGCAAACTAAAACGGGGTCTGCAGCGTTTTCAGAAGTCTTCGTTTTGCTCCGTTTACACTGAAACGCAACTCCGGAGTTTGCAAACTAAAACGGGGTCTGCAGCGTTTTCAGAAGTCTTCGTTTTGCTCCGTTTACACTGAAACGCAACTCCGGAGTTTGCAAACTAAAACGGGGTCTGCAGCGTTTTCAGAAGTCTTCGTTTTGCTCCGTTTACACTGAAACGCAACTCCGGAGTTTGCAAACTAAAACGGGGTCTGCAGCGTTTTCAGAAGTCTTCGTTTTGCTCCGTTTACACTGAAACGCAACTCCGGAGTTTGCAAACTAAAACGGGGTCTGCAGCGTTTTCAGAAGTCTTCGTTTTGCTCCGTTTACACTGAAACGCAACTCCGGAGTTTGCAAACTAAAACGGGGTCTGCAGCGTTTTCAGAAGTCTTCGTTTTGCTCCGTTTACACTGAAACGCAACTCCGGAGTTTGCAAACTAAAACGGGGTCTGCAGCGTTTTCAGAAGTCTTCGTTTTGCTCCGTTTACACTGAAACGCAACTCCGGAGTTTGCAAACTAAAACGGGGTCTGCAGCGTTTTCAGAAGTCTTCGTTTTGCTCCGTTTACACTGAAACGCAACTCCGGAGTTTGCAAACTAAAACGGGGTCTGCAGCGTTTTCAGAAGTCTTCGTTTTGCTCCGTTTACACTGAAACGCAACTCCGGAGTTTGCAAACTAAAACGGGGTCTGCAGCGTTTTCAGAAGTCTTCGTTTTGCTCCGTTTACACTGAAACGCAACTCCGGAGTTTGCAAACTAAAACGGGGTCTGCAGCGTTTTCAGAAGTCTTCGTTTTGCTCCGTTTACACTGAAACGCAACTCCGGAGTTTGCAAACTAAAACGGGGTCTGCAGCGTTTTCAGAAGTCTTCGTTTTGCTCCGTTTACACTGAAACGCAACTCCGGAGTTTGCAAACTAAAACGGGGTCTGCAGCGTTTTCAGAAGTCTTCGTTTTGCTCCGTTTACACTGAAACGCAACTCCGGAGTTTGCAAACTAAAACGGGGTCTGCAGCGTTTTCAGAAGTCTTCGTTTTGCTCCGTTTACACTGAAACGCAACTCCGGAGTTTGCAAACTAAAACGGGGTCTGCAGCGTTTTCAGAAGTCTTCGTTTTGCTCCGTTTACACTGAAACGCAACTCCGGAGTTTGCAAACTAAAACGGGGTCTGCAGCGTTTTCAGAAGTCTTCGTTTTGCTCCGTTTACACTGAAACGCAACTCCGGAGTTTGCAAACTAAAACGGGGTCTGCAGCGTTTTCAGAAGTCTTCGTTTTGCTCCGTTTACACTGAAACGCAACTCCGGAGTTTGCAAACTAAAACGGGGTCTGCAGCGTTTTCAGAAGTCTTCGTTTTGCTCCGTTTACACTGAAACGCAACTCCGGAGTTTGCAAACTAAAACGGGGTCTGCAGCGTTTTCAGAAGTCTTCGTTTTGCTCCGTTTACACTGAAACGCAACTCCGGAGTTTGCAAACTAAAACGGGGTCTGCAGCGTTTTCAGAAGTCTTCGTTTTGCTCCGTTTACACTGAAACGCAACTCCGGAGTTTGCAAACTAAAACGGGGTCTGCAGCGTTTTCAGAAGTCTTCGTTTTGCTCCGTTTACACTGAAACGCAACTCCGGAGTTTGCAAACTAAAACGGGGTCTGCAGCGTTTTCAGAAGTCTTCGTTTTGCTCCGTTTACACTGAAACGCAACTCCGGAGTTTGCAAACTAAAACGGGGTCTGCAGCGTTTTCAGAAGTCTTCGTTTTGCTCCGTTTACACTGAAACGCAACTCCGGAGTTTGCAAACTAAAACGGGGTCTGCAGCGTTTTCAGAAGTCTTCGTTTTGCTCCGTTTACACTGAAACGCAACTCCGGAGTTTGCAAACTAAAACGGGGTCTGCAGCGTTTTCAGAAGTCTTCGTTTTGCTCCGTTTACACTGAAACGCAACTCCGGAGTTTGCAAACTAAAACGGGGTCTGCAGCGTTTTCAGAAGTCTTCGTTTTGCTCCGTTTACACTGAAACGCAACTCCGGAGTTTGCAAACTAAAACGGGGTCTGCAGCGTTTTCAGAAGTCTTCGTTTTGCTCCGTTTACACTGAAACGCAACTCCGGAGTTTGCAAACTAAAACGGGGTCTGCAGCGTTTTCAGAAGTCTTCGTTTTGCTCCGTTTACACTGAAACGCAACTCCGGAGTTTGCAAACTAAAACGGGGTCTGCAGCGTTTTCAGAAGTCTTCGTTTTGCTCCGTTTACACTGAAACGCAACTCCGGAGTTTGCAAACTAAAACGGGGTCTGCAGCGTTTTCAGAAGTCTTCGTTTTGCTCCGTTTACACTGAAACGCAACTCCGGAGTTTGCAAACTAAAACGGGGTCTGCAGCGTTTTCAGAAGTCTTCGTTTTGCTCCGTTTACACTGAAACGCAACTCCGGAGTTTGCAAACTAAAACGGGGTCTGCAGCGTTTTCAGAAGTCTTCGTTTTGCTCCGTTTACACTGAAACGCAACTCCGGAGTTTGCAAACTAAAACGGGGTCTGCAGCGTTTTCAGAAGTCTTCGTTTTGCTCCGTTTACACTGAAACGCAACTCCGGAGTTTGCAAACTAAAACGGGGTCTGCAGCGTTTTCAGAAGTCTTCGTTTTGCTCCGTTTACACTGAAACGCAACTCCGGAGTTTGCAAACTAAAACGGGGTCTGCAGCGTTTTCAGAAGTCTCCGTTTTGCTCCGTTTACACTGAAACGCAACTACAGCGTTTGCAAATTAAAACGGGGTCTGCAGCGTTTTCAGAAGTCTTCGTTTTGCTCCGTTTACACTGAAACGCAATTACGGCGTTTGCAAACTAAAACGGGGTCTGCAGCGTTTTCAGAAGTCTCCGTTTTGTGCCGGAGTAGTGTAAACGACAGGCGTAACCGTAGCAAAAGTTATGCGTTTTAAAGCGAAAACGCACTAGTGTAAACGTAGCCTCACCCAAAAAGAAAATTCTTGTGTCTTTCCAACCCGGTTTTAATTTTTCTTTTGTTTTATGTTCTTTCTCTGTTCGATACAACATTGATTTTTTTACTGCCAAGCTCCTAAAAGGACTGTTACGTATACCTGGTTTTGTGTACCGTGTGTTTTTTGTTATTTGGACTTTTAGGTTGCATTCTGCCCTGTTTTGTTCCTGTTTCCTGTTCTGTTTGTAGTCCTTTTGTAGTTTTTCTTGTTGATCAGTTCCCTGATTGTTTTCAGGTGTGTGGTCTTTGTTGGTCTTGTCCATGTTGGATGTGCTGTTGGTTTTGTCAGTTCTGCATCTGTGTTTCTTGGTTTTTACTCCTTGTTCGTGGATTATTGTTTGTGTAATAAATGCTGCATTTTAGTGACGGCGAAGTGAAGTGTTCTGAACCAGCGAAGCTCTTAACACAACTGTATCGGAAAAAGGTTCATTACTCGAAGCTTTTTAACACGGTTTATGTTGTGGCCATCTAGTGGTTATAGTCGTGTATTCCATTACAGCCGGTGGTTTCACATCTGGTTCTACAACTGATTGTTTGTTTTATTTTATTGTATATAAATAATGGTCATTGTCAAGTCATTCATTTCTGTTGGTGTACTGGCAGTAAAATAAATGAAACATAAATTAAATCTAAGATCTGTCTATTTTAATCTGCCTCAGTCCTTAAAGGGGTCATATGATGCGATTTCAATTGTTCCTTTGTCTTTGGAGTGTTACAAACTCTTGGTGCATAAAGAAGATCTGTAAGGTTGCAAAGACTAAAGTCTCAAATCCAAAGAGATATTCTTTATAAAAGTTAAGAGTCAACCACGCCTACCTAAAACGCCTCGTTCTAACACGCCCCCACATGTCTACGTCACGATGTGGGAAGATTTGCATAACGCCGCCCAAATGTTACTCCATAGAAAACGGTACACCTCAGGGGAGTGTATGTAGCCCTATATTGTTTAATATAATGATGGATGATGTGTTTTCTGGAGTTGAGCAGAGAATGAGTAAAGCCTTATATGCTGATGATGGAGCGTTATGGATGAGGGGTTGTAATATTGGTATGCTGGAGTCAAGAATGCAGAAAGCAACAGATCAGGTTGAAAGATGGTGGTATGGGTGGGGCTTTTGGTTATCTGTGGAAAAGATGCAATTTATATGTTTTACTAAAAAGCAGGTAAACCCCAGACTAGATATCAAACTTTATGGACAGTCACTCAAGCAAGAAAAACAGGTGCAGCTCTATAGTATAGTTGAG